ATGGCTTAAACTAAAAAATTCTCTTAACTATGTTTTTTTTTTCTTTAAGCCATTAAATTATTTAGGGTAAAAATATATAAATAGTTTGTTGAGTTAATCGATCTGATGAATCGATCAAGAGGGGTGAATTAGCAATAAAAATTTCAGTGGAAGCTTTTGCAGAAAATTGAAAAGATTTGTATAGTGATTTAGAGTGGTTCGACTTTCTCAACCAAAGTTTACATCCACTACCTTAGCTATCCACACTAAGGATTTTCCACAAATTCACTAATTCTTCTAGTTCGATTTAGAGTGGTTCGACTTTCTCAACCAAAGTTTACATCCACTACCTTAGCTATCCACACTAAGGATTTTCCACAAATTCACTAATTTCTTCTATAGTTCGATTTTTCCTTTCAACAAATTCATTTTGTTGAGGAATTCTAGGTGCTGAAAAATTATGGCTAATCCCATTTGAATTACAAAACTCAGTAAATCCAAGATTTTCAAATTCAGTACCATGATCATTCCTAACACTAGAAATGGAGTAACCTTTTTCTTTTTGCATCATAGATTTTATCTTTATCAAATTTTAACTTTGGCAACCCTCTTACTAAATTTCCTTGAATTAGTCTTTGTAAAAAACTCATGCTAGTGTGTCCTAGTCTCCTATGTCATAACCAACTATCATGTTCATCCTTAGCAACTAGGCACAAATTAATCATATTTAATGAATCTAAATGCACCATGTATATGTTTCTTATTCTATGACCAATAAGCTTAATCCGATTAGATGCAATGTCAATAATTTTACAACCATTTGATTCAAATAAGACATTGTATCCTTTATCGCATAATTGACTAATACTCAATAGATTATGTTTTAACTCATTCACATATAATACATTTTCTATTTGTATGGAAGAGGTATTCCCTATAGTACCTATACCTTCAATGTAACCTTTTGAGTTGTCACCAAAGGTTACCACTCCTCAATTTTTGTCGTTAAGCTCTATAAACCAGCTCTTGTCTCCGGTCATATGTCTTGAGCATCCCTATCAAGGAACCATGAATTTGAACTTGTATTTTGTGCCTTGTAGCAATGTTCATTTTCCTACAAACATAGATTAATTTCTAATTTTTGGTACCCAAATTCTTTTGGGTCCATATTCATTAGTCTATAAAATTCTAGTCCCCTTGGGTATCCATTTATTTTGGATATCCTTATCTTTAGTAGTATTGAGTACTTTCGGAACCCATATACTTCTAATGATTTTACCATTAGAGGTTCTTTGGGGACTTCTATGATTGTAAGATTTAAAATTCTTTCTAATATAGTTGGATTTTGAACTTTCTCCTTTTTCAAAATGTTTTGGTCCAACTTTATTGAAAGAAGCTTTAAGATCATCAATTTCTTATTGATGATCATCGTTAACTCTCGAAAGTAAATTATGCAAATCAGAATTTTTCTTTTCAAAATATTTGATTTTGATTTGCAATTCATTAATTTTACTTTCAATATCATTATTGGTCTTGGATATGAGATTATTTTCGTTTTTCAATTTTGAAATATATTTCTTGTATTTTGAAAACAATTTCTCATAATCCTAAGCCAACCCAGTATATTCCTCTAATAACTCATCATAAGAATAATCTTCTAAATCAAATGAGTTAGAGGTTACCTGAGAATCTTCCCGGTGGCCATCAAGCACAGGTTCACTACTTCTTGCTCCTCTTTATTTGATGATTCATCATCATCGCTCCAAGTAGCCACGTGTGCCTTGTGTTTCTTCTTTGATTGACCATTCTTATTTAATTGTGGGCAATCGTATTTGACATGCTCGGGCTTTTTGCATTCATAGCAAATGATCGGGTCCTTCTCATTTGGTTCATTTTTGAAGCCTTCATTTTTTTTTAATTTTTTTCCTCTGTTGGGCTTCATTAATTTTCTGAACCGCTTGGCAAATAATGCCATCTCTTCATCATCATCATCAGAATCATTCTCGTCTTTTGTGGATTTGAGAGCAACTCCAACGTTTTTCTTCTTCTCTATCTCATTCTTTGACTCATCATTCTTCTCGAGGTCTACCTCATCTTGAATTATCATTTCATGCGTGAGGAGAGAACCAATAAGCTCATCGAGAGTTAAAGACTTTAGGTCTTTAGCTTCGATAATCTTCGTCTTCTTTGATTGCCAAGCTTTTGGAAGAGAATAAATTATCTTCCTCACAAGCTTCTCGTTTGGAATAATTTCTCCATATGCTTTGAGACCATTGACAATAACGGAAAATCTATCCGTCAGCTTTGATATCTTCTCCTAGATTCATCCTGAAATTTTCATAGCTATGAGTAAGAAGACTAATTTTTTATTCTTTTACCTCGTTGGTGCCTTCATGAGTGACTTGTAGTTTATCCCATATTTCCTTGGCGGTTGTACAAGATGAAACTCTCCCGTATTCATCTGGTCCAAGTGCACAGAAAATAATATGAATAGCCTTTGAGTTGAGTTGAAACATTATTGTCTATTCTTCATTTCACAAATTTGGATATGTGGATGGTTCAAAATATCTGTTCATCACGATTTTCCATGCTCCCATGTCACTAGCTTGAATGAAGTACCTTATTATATTCTTCCAATAAGCATAGTTAGCTCCATTGAAGAAAGGAGGCTTGCTGACAGACAATGACTTAAGAACGAAGTCAAAATTTGATGTGGAGACCATTGATGAATATCGATATAACTCTTCCCGAATCGACTCAAGAAGTGGTAAAACCTTCAAATGAGTGTAGTTCTGATACCAATTGTTGAGTTAATCGATCTGATGAATCAGCCAAGAGGGGGTGAATTGGCAATAAAAATTTCGGTGGAAGCTTTTGTAGAAAATTAAAAAGATTTGCACAACGATTTAGAGTGGTTCGACTTTCTCAACCAAAGTCTACGTGCACTACCTTAGCTATCCACACTAAGGATTTTCCACAAATTCACTAATTTGTCTTTCTTTTGAGGACAGAGAGTAATATTACAAATCCCTCAAGAATTATACCCAAATTCTTGAGAACACTCTCTCCCAAAGAGAAAATTACAAATTTCGCAAACTTAAAGAAAAACCTCTCAAGGCAAGATGTTTTCACAATTCTAGAACAAAAAATGAACACTAAAAAATGAATACAATTGAGCACAAATGGTGTTCTTGAAAGCAAAATGAATATTGAATGGAAAATAGGCTTGAAATGCTTCAAACAATAAATTTAAGACTTTCTCTTTGATTCTCTCTCAATTCTTGTTTCTTGTTTTTCATCAATGGCTTCAGAACTTGTTTAAATACACCTTGGATTGATTCTGAAGGTTGAGGATCGTTGGTGAAGTCAATAGAGCTGTTGTTGTATGTTTTCCATTTAAAAAATATGTTGGGAGCGTAGGTGTATCGGTACATTCATCAAAGGGTATCGATACACTCAGTGTAAAATTTAAATATTTCGACCGTTATTTGACCAAGTGTATCGGTACATCCCAGGGGTATTGGTACGCTAATTATATTCGATGTTTTTCGGAGCCTGGAGTGTATCGGTACATCAGCTATATATCAGTACCTTTATTTCATTCGAAATTTAGGTGTATCGGTACATATAGGAGTGTAAGGGTACCTCCCTTTATAAAAATTATTTTTGGCTCGATTATGGTTCGAAATACTTTGTAAAAATTGTTTCAAAAATATTTTAAGATTGAAACACAATTTTACACTTAAGTAAGGATTAAAATTGACATTTGAAAAATTGGAGTAATATTTTTGATATTCGAATAATTTAATCGAATATTATTTTTGAAATCGAATATAAAATCTTAAAATTCATTTATACTTTATTTGTTATATCGAAACATTAAAATGTTTTCAACATAGTTCCCGATTACAAGATATTATTTTGTTGAGTCCTCGACTATTAAAAGTTATAAAATGGTTACTCGACTATTTATATATTTCAAACTCGTTTTTTGTTAAAAATTTACGACGGTCTGAGAAGAACGTTAACGTGTTGATAGATATGATTAATCATATTTTAATGATGTCTACTGGCATCGTAGTTGCTTTCAAACACTTACTCAACAACATAATATTTTAAGCACTGGCTCAACGACATAATATAATTAAAGAGTCGATCCACAAAATATAGTTCAAACAATTTTGAGATCAGATTTGATCAAATCTTAGTCAACATGTTAACATTTAGTTTAGATGACCGTTAATTTTTAACTTAAAATAATAAGTTTAGAATATTTGAATTGTCTGGAGTCCATTTTATAACTTTTAATAATTATAAAATTTATTAAAGTAATATTCTATAATTGAATGATCATTATATAATTTTTAATAGTAGATCTAGGTTCGAAACTTCGAAACCCACCCCTTTTTGGTCATCGGTGCAACCCACGCTTTGGTTTATAAAAACCAAATCTCAAAAAATAATATGCACATGCGAGAAATGAACGATTCAATGTAAAAAAAAGATGTTACATTTTATTTCCTTTTCGAATCGTTTACAATAGCTTTGCCTTTGTATTTTCAGTGCTTTCCTCTGTACTTTGTATGTAAAATCGTCTTTTACAAATGGGGAGGATTACATGTATTTATAGTGAAAAAAACTAATTATTTTTAGAATCCTATTAACAATAGAATCCTAATACAACTAGACTCTTTGCTCGGTTGTTGCACGTTTATTGGTGTGATTGTTGCTTTAAAAGATATGGTGGTGGAAGAATCCTCCTAGAAGAGAAACTCTTGCTAGTTCTATCTTTTAAGAAAATGAGTGTCTACATGTCCGACACCGACATCTCATTGCTCTTCTTGGATATTGCCTTGATGGAAATGAAAAGCTTCTTGTGTATGAATTCATGCCCAAAGGTACTCTTAGTGGACACATCTTTAACTGGGCTGCAGAAGGATTAAAACCACTTGAATGGACAAAGAGATTGACCATTGCCTTAGATGTGGCAAAGGGAATATCTTCACAGTTTAGCCCATCAAAGTTTTATACATCGAAACTTGAAGCCTTCGAACATTCTACTAGGAGATGATATGAGGGCTAAGGTCGCAGACTTCGGTCTTGTGCGTCTTGCCCCTGAGGGGAAGGGCTCCATTGAAACTAGAATTGCTGGAACCTTCGGATACTTGGCACCAGAATATGCAGGTATCTTTTGTTCATCGGTTTTCCCCTTTAATTTCATATAATTTTCTTCTTCATAAAGCTAAATGCAAATAAGTTATTCATGGTGAAAGAATGCAAATATTCGGTTGAATATCACTTGACACGTTGAGCATATAGCCGAATTTCGCTCGATAGTTCTTCAAATTGCAAAATTTTATTCCATCTTATGTATTTGTTGAAGTGTTGACTATGACATATAGTTCTATACACAAAATATTCTCAACATCGAATCATTTTTTTTCTTTGAATACCAATTGTAGTTACCGGACGAGTTACCACTAAAGTTGATGTGTTTAGCTTTGGGGTGATACTGATGGAGCTGATCACTGGTAGAAGAGCACTTGATGAGAGCCAACCCGAGGAAAGCGTGCACCTTGGTTCAAGAGAGTGCACATCAACAAGGACTCATTCCGCAAAGCCATCGACCCCACAATCGACCTCAATGAGGAAACGCTCGCCAGTATCAGCACTGTTGCTGAATTGGCTGGTCATTGCTGAGCAAGGGAACCTTATCAAAGGCCCGATATGGGTGTTGGAAATATGAAACAGCAAAACCACACCGTTAAGATAAACAGTAATTTAAAATGAACATATTCGTAAACCACATCGTGGTAAAATCACTGCCTTAGAAAGGAATTCTTCCCGATGTGTGTAATCGCTACAGTAGGCGGACCGTCCCCTGAGGTTAATACGGTCGCTCCGAATTTCGTACACCCGAAACCGGAGTGGATTGTTGGTGATATTACTCTTCTTATCGGAATCCACACAGAGAGAATATCTAGAAAACACTTGGAGAGTGAATTCTGAAATGTTGAGAGTGAGTTGAAAAGTTGAATTCAACTCTCTATTTATATGCTAGAAATAGGGTTAAAATCGTATATATAAAAAATCAGAATTAAAATCATTCTTTGTAATAGCTGAAACGTCTAGATGAACCTGACTCAGAAATAGTCTAGGTTCATTGCACCATTATTCAGCTGTTATAACTCCTGAAATTATATCATGTAACTTCTGAAATTAAATCATATAACTCTTGTAATCCTTGTTATTAACAACTTGTCTCCTCTGTACAAAGCTGTAAATCAGTCCAGATACATCTTAACATTTTTTTAATTTAATTTAGGAAAAAACTGTTTAATTTCTTATAACTCATAAATCAGCTGTTATCATTTGAATTTATACAATCCTCAGTAGCCTATAAATATCAGTTGAAATCTTTCACATTTTCCATTTGTTTCTTTCAAAGTGAAATTTCTTAAGAATTTTTTCTAAAAAGATAGTATCCGCGCGCGGACGTGTCGAAAACATGTATTACCACGACCACACGACCACAAGCCAAGCCGAGCTGAGCCAAGATGGACGGCGGTGGTGCGCGAGAATCCCCTTATTCTCTTTCACTCAACAAGGAATTGGGAAATCCAAACCACTAAAGAAATGGCAAGCTTATGAAGGCAGAAGCAATTTGGAGTCCTCATCTTCTTCACTTCTTCCCAGCTTAGACAACACGCAAACCAGCATTCCTTCACGGCCTTACGGATTTGCCGAGTCATTCACATCAGCAGATGGAAGATAAGCAGCTGTTGTATATTATCGAATCAGTCAATCTGTATGTTCATTCTGATTGCTTCTTGCTTCTTAGTAGAACTTGTGTAGCCTAATTATTTCCTCGAACGAGGTTGTATTTTGCTTGGAATATGATTCGGATGTTCTTCGGTTTCGATGCTCTCGAAGCCAAACAATTAATGTTTTGTTTAGTTTGTTAGGTATGGCTCATAAATATACCAGTAAAGAGGACAGGAGATGGCGGAGTGAGCGAACATCAACTGTCCTTACAAAGAAAGTCTCGTTGTGGGGTTACAAATTATGTGGGTTGGGGGTGCGGGGGCGTAGCCCCCGCGGTACGGTACAGGGTTAATTTTGTAATTATGTACCAGGGTTTTCTATTATAAATAGAGATGTAAACTAGACCTAAAATATCATTGAATAAAATTCTAGCGCCGCCTAGGCACCGAGGACGTAAGCACATTGCCGAACCTCGTAAAATTCTCGTGTTCTTTCGTTTTCTTTACCCGTTTTCGTCAACAATTGGTATCAGATGTCAGGAGCAAAATTCGAAGTCGCGAAATTCGATGGTCAGGGTAACTTCGGATTATGGCAAACGAGGGTGAAGGATCTATTGGCGCAGCAAGGGATCTTGAAGGCTTTGCGACCTACAAAGCCGGCGTCGATGGATGAGGAAGATTGGGAAGAATTGCAGCAGCGAGCGGCAGGAACCATACGATTATGCTTGGCGGACGAGGTCATGTATCACGTCATGCATCTATCGTCTCCAGACGAAATTTGGAGGAAGTTGGAAAGTCAGTTTATGTCCAAATCCTTAACGACAAAACTGTATCTGAAGCAGCGGCTGTATGGGCTGAAGATACAGGACGATCACGATTTGGCGCAACACGTGAATGTCTTCAATCAAATCGTTTCTGATCTGGCTCGGCTTGATGTGAAAATTGAGGATGAAGACAGAGCGATGATTCTGTTGTGTTCGTTGCCTTCCTCTTACGAACACATGGTGACTACTCTTACATATGGGAAAGAGACTATCAATGTTGAGGAGATTACTGCAGCCTTGTTGGCTCACAACCAGCGGAAGCAGAATGCAGGGGAAAGCTCTCAAGACGATAGCTTATATGTCAAGGGTAATCGAGATCGTGGACGGAAGCCAGAGAAGGCAGGGTCCGGGAAGTGGAATTCCAGATCCAAATCCAGGGATAAGAAGACGATTCACTGTTACAAGTGCAAGGAGGCGGGACATATGAAGCGAGACTGTCCGAAGTTGAAAAAGCAGACTGATGAGAAGCGTGATGGCTCATCCAAGTCTGTGAACGTGGTCGAGGATGATACTTCTGATTGCAGTGAGGGTGATATGCTTTCTATTTCAACGACACAATTGACGGATGCTTGGATTCTTGATTCTGGATGTTCTTATCACATCACGCCAAATAGGGAATGGTTTTCGACATACAGGCCGGTTAATTCTGGTTCGGTTTATTTGGGTGATGATCGATGTTGCAATATTGTTGGTATTGGTGATGTCAGAATTAAGATGCACGATGGCTCCGTTCGGACGTTGAGTGGTGTTCGACATATCCCAGACTTGAAGAAGAATTTGATTTCCTTGGGCACTTTGCACAAGAATGGTTTTATCCCTAAGGCTGACGAGGATAGGGAAACCATTCGGATTGTTAAAGGAGCATTGAATGTGATGAAAGGCAAGATGACTGCAGGGAATATCTACAGATTGTTAGGGAGTACCGTTGCAGGTGGAGTTCACTCTGTTGAGTCCTGTGATGATACGACAAAATTGTGGCATATGCGCCTTGCTCATCTTAGTGAACGTGGTATGGCAGAATTACACAAGAGAAACTTGTTGCATGGTGTCAAAAGCTGTAAGCTCAATTTTTGCAAGTATTGTGTTCTTGGTAAACAGACTAAAGTCCGTTTCAAGACTGCGAAGCACACAACTCAAGGGATTCTTGATTATGTGCATTCTGATGTATGGGGGCCTTCCACGACATCGTCTTTGGGTGGATCTAGGTACTATGTTACTTTATTGATGATTTTTCACGGAAAGTTTGGGTGTATTTTTTGAAACAGAAATCTGAAGTTTTTGAGAAGTTCAAGCTGTGGAAAGCTGAGGTAGAAAACCAAACAGGACGAAAAATCAAGTGTTTGCAGTTTGACAATGGTACGGAGTACACAGATTCACAGTTCCTACAATTCTGTAAGGAGCATGGGATTCAGAGGCATTTTACAGTGCGCAAGACACCACAACAGAATGGTGTTGCGGAACGAATGACAGGTCGTTGAATGAAAGAGCCAGATGTTTGCGGTTGAATGCGGGCTTCCCAAACACTTCTGGGCTGAGGCTGTTAACATGGCGTGTTACCTTATCAACAGATCGCCAAGGGCATCGCTGGCTGGGAAAGTTGCAGAAGAGGTATGGACTGGTCATGATGTTAGTTTGATAACTTACGGATTTTTGGTTGTCCTGCTTATGTGCATGTACCTGCTGATGAGAGATCCAAACTTGATGCAAAATCGAAGGAGTGCATTTTTCTGGGTTACAAGAAAGGTGTCAAAGGATTCAAGTTCTGGGATCCAGTTGCGAAGAAAGTTGTGATTAGTAGAGATGTCGTTTTTTGATGAACAGTCTATGTTGCAGCAGAAGCAAGGCACGACAGTGGTAGATTTCGAGCAGTTTCCAGTTGAGAAAGCAGAAACTTCTCAACCGACTTCTGGTGGTTCCAATACGGATGATTTGCAGGATTATAGTCTCGCCAGAGACAGGGTGAGACGGACGAATATAAGCCTCCGAACAGATTGGGTTTTGAAGACTTGGTATCTTTTGCACTTACTGTTAGCAGTGATGATCCAGTTACTTTTCATGATGCCGTTACTAGTCAGGAAACGACAAGTGGATGGCAGCCATGGTTGAGGAGATGGAGTCTTTGAATCACAATCGCACATGGGAGTTAGTTCCCCTTCCTGAGGGTAAGAAGCCGATTGGTTGCAAATGGGTGTATAAGAAGAAACCAGCAGTAACAGAAAAAGAGGGGAGAAGTTCAAGGCTCGTTTGGTAGCGAAGGGTTTTTCACAGCAGAAAGGAGTTGATTATGATGAAATCTTTTCTCCTGTGGTCAGGCACACTTCAATCCGAGCAGTACTTGCATTGGTGGCTAGTTGGGATTTGCATTTAGAGCAGATGGATGTTAAAACTGCTTTTTTGCATGGTGATTTAGAGGAGCAGATCTACATGCGGCAACCTGAAGGTTTCACTCAACCTGGAAACGAGCATTTAGTTTGCAGATTGAAGAAATCTTTGTACGGGTTAAAACAGTCTCCGAGACAGTGGTATAAACGGTTTGACTCCTATATGATCAAGATTGGCTACAACCGATGTGAGTATGATTGTTGTGTCTATGTTAAGAGCCTTGATGATGGTTCTTTTATTTTTCTATTACTGTATGTTGATTGCTGCGAAGAACATGGATGATGTTATCGGTTTGAAAACTTTATTGAGTCAGGAATTTGATATGAAAGATTTAGGTGCTGCAAAGAAAATTCTTGGAATGGAAATTTGCAGGGACAGAGACTCAAGGAAACTGCGGCTATCTCAACGGGGTTATGTTGAGAAAATGCTAGAAAGGTTTGCGATGAGCAGCGCGAAACCAGTTAGCACTCCATTGGCGAATCACTTTAAGCTCTCATCAGAACAGTGCCCTAAGACAGATAAGGAAGCTGAAAATATGGCAAAGGTTCCGTATTCTAATGCTGTTGGCTGCTTGATGTATGCGATGGTATGTACTCGTCCTGATTTAGCTCATGCTGTTAGTCAAGTTTGTAAGTACATGTCTAAACCTGGTAAGCAACATTGGGATGCAGTCAAGTGGATCTTTCGGTACTTAAAGGGTACTGTGGGACATGGAATTGTTTTTGGGAGTCAGCGGGATAATCCTTTGGTTGTAGGATATGTGGATTCAGATTATGCAGGTGACTTGGATAATAGAAGATCTACGACAGGGTATGTGTTTACTCTTGGTGGAGGGCCTATTTGTTGGAAGTCTACTGTTCAATCTGTCGTGGCACTATCTACAACTGAAGCTGAATACATGGCAGCGGCTGAAGCTGCAAAAGAAGCTTTATGGCTTACTGGTTTAGTGAAGGAGTTGGGTGTTCAACAAGGTGGAGTTCAGTTGCTTTGTGATAATCAAAGTGCTATTCACTTGGCTAAGAATCAGGTGTAATGTGCTAGAACTAAACATATTGATGTAAGGTTCCACAAGATCAGAGAGTTGGTTGCATCTGGAGAGGTTTTGTTTCAGAAGGTACATACTGATGAGAATGCCGCTGATATGTTCACCAAGCCAGTTACGACAGACAAGTTCAAGCATTGCTTGGACTTGTTGAATGTTTCGAGTTGTTAAAGAAGCAAGGTAACCCAACCCACATTGAAGTTTCCAAGGGGCAGGATATTCGCCAAGGTGGAGATTTGTTAGGTATGGCTCATAAATATACCAGTAAAGAGGACAGAGATGGAGCGGAGTGAGCGAAGCGAACATCAACTGTCCTTACAAAGAAAGTCTCGTTGTGGGGTTACAAATTATGTGGGTTGGGGGTGCGGGGGCGTAGCTCCTGCGGTACGGTAGAGGGTTAATTTTGTAATTATGTACCAGGGTTTTCTATTATAAATAGAGATGTAACCTAGACCTAAAATATCATTGAATAAAATTCTAGCGCCGCCTAGGCACCGAGGACGTAAGCACATTGCCGAACCTCGTAAAATTCTCGTGTTCTTTCGTTTTCTTTACCCGTTTTCGTCAACAGTTCATGCAAATATGTCCATTCTTAATCCTGCTTGAGTGATCATGCTCGACATACAAGTGCATATGACATATTCGTGTTAGATATGTATCGGAATCAGTCGTGTCTAAACAGTAGCTTGGAACACCAAACTTTGACCATGAAAACAGACACAAAGTTCAAGTGATGTTGGGAAATAGAACAGAAAAAAGGCAGAAGTGAAACGGCTCAATACCATCCAATGAAGAAAGAGATGGGATGTGGTGGGGAATGGCGTTGCTGTCTGTAGTATTAAAGTAGTGTGCGGGGACCTGCAGGTGTTGGCGGTGAGGTGTAATTGTTGCGTTTCCACATGGCTCAAATTCTTGTCGCAACTGTCCCCTCTGGCTCTCGGTCTCGCACCCACTGTTGTTTTCGTGTCATTTCTTTTTATGTCTATCCTTCCATACTACCATTGCATTGCGGTAGCAAATAAGGATGAATATTTTTTAAAATTTCAATTTTTTTGTGACTTAAATATTTTTTTTATTGATTATGTAATTTTATCTCTTAAATTTTATAATTTTACATCTTAAAATTTTAATGTGATTTTATAAGCTTACATTCCTTACATAATATCATACATCTGTTTCTAATAGGAAATTATAAATTTTATATTGAGATGGAGATAAAATATAATTGAATTATAAATTTAAAATTTAAAATAAATATCTATCTTTAATATAAAAAAATTAGCGACAATACAAAAGACATCGAAGTAATATGATACTGTTTTTAACCACTCTATCATCCACCCTCTGAATCTTCACTTTCAAACGAAACTCTAAATGTGGTCGGTCCAGATTCAGTTACGTGTATTAGTTTTAAGGTACCACCACATAATATTAGCATTTTACGGTTTGAGTTTTTATATTAATCGCTCATTATTAGTATGAACCGATTTGGTTACTAGAATTATATCAACGGTTCTTGAGCCATGCCTACTTTTTAGTGTATTATTCATATTTTAAATATACTTATTTTATTAATGTGATTTTTGTACTTTAAAATATAAATTTTAATATCTAAAATTTCCATCTTGACATGCGTGAAGTAATGCGAATCGTCTCTCCAATCTCAACTAAATTAATGACATCATATAATGATCCCGATTGTGTAATTAGGTTCTTAATCTTTTTAACCACGTATATTTAATTTATATTTATATTTATATTTTTAATGTCATTTAGTTGAAAAACAATACCTATTACAAATTCAAAAGTGAATAATTAAACTTATAAGTTTGAATAATTATAATTTTAAAAAAGTTAAATATTTGATTGTACTAACAATGTATATACAACATTACCTATTCTGTGGTAAAAGGGTCTCTTACTTTCTCTAGAAATTATATGTTCGAACAGTTGCAACTTTATTACGTATATACATTGTCAATAATTAAGAGACATTTTTAACAGATACTAATTTGTAATCATTCTTATACTTGTAATTAGGATTAACTCGGGTTACCATGTAGGTAAATTTTGGAGTTGGTTTAGTTATTAGCATTTGAGGCTGTTGTTGAACTTTGGAGCCCAGTTAGTTTTTCAAGGATGTCTTTGTAAAAGGGGGCAACTAAGGAGGACCTAAAGAGTAATTTATCTATTATGTGAGAAAAATTTTCTTTTTTATATAATTTTAAATTGTTGTCGCGTGTTCTAGAGAACACAACATGATCTCATCAAACCTATCCCTCTATTAAACTCTTTCCCTTCACCCATCTCCTATTTAATTTTAGGGATTTGTTGTGGCTATAGTAAGATTTAAGGTAAGCATCTTACTCTCCATTTTTCAAGCTTCAAAAAAAGTGGCGAATCTCCATGAAAATGTGTTTTGATGGAAAGTTAAGGTTTTGTAGGGTTCCACGTGGGAGTGGGAATAGGTTGAGGGAGAGAATATGAGTTTAGAGTTTAATTGTTTTCTAATCATTGCCTTTAAATGTTTTACGGCATTATGAGTTTACATAAAAACTAATAAAAAAACTGAAAAATAAGTGTTCTATTCATTTGGTAAAAGTTACATTAATTTATGTACAAAGCTACAAGTATGCATGCAATTAACCTTAACTGCCTAACAGCTGAATAACAACTTCAGTTGACTAACAAACCTTTAAAAACCTTCCTTCAGCATCACACAATCTCAGCCATGTGTAGTAAGTGATTACAACACCTTTCAACTCCGATGTTACCCCTGCTTCTTCCACTTTTCTCTTCTTAGTTTATCATCATATAGACCTTGGCATGGAATTCCTCAAATGCTACTTTGGTGAGAGGTTTAGTGAGTCCATCAACTATTTGATGTGAAGCTGAAACATAGTTCACACACAACTGTCCAGAAGCTACCTTCTATCGAACGAAATGCACATATAGATCAACATGCTTGGATTGTGCATGGTAGACGAGGTTTGCACTCATTGCCACCATACTTGTGTTGTCGCACCACACAATTGGTGCTCTACTCTGTTGCAGACTTAGATCTTTACCCATGTGACTTCAGTTGTTGAATCTGCAACGCTCTTGTACTCTTCTTCCATGGTGGATCTTGAGACAATTCTTTGTTTCTTGGAGTACGATGCCACAAGGTATTTGCCTATAAACACATCATACCTCAATATCTACCTTCGATCATCTACACTTGTACCCCAATCAACATCAGCAAATGCTTACATAGTCAATCCATTTCTAGTATGAGAGAATACAAGACCATAGTCCAATGTGGTGGCCAAGTTGTTAGGATTGTTGAAGCTCAATTGGACAACTGAAAATCGTACAAGAGGGGTGAGTTGGTAAAAATTGTTGAAGGAGTAAGGAGAAAAAAGATAGGCAATTATGCACAGCGATTTATAGTGGTTCGACTTCTCAATCTAAGTCTACCTCCACCACCTTAGCTCCTCACTAAGGATTTTTCAATAAATTCACTAATTTGTTCTTTCTTTTTCAAGGACAAAGATATAACCTTTACAAAACTCCCTAACTTTTTAAAGGCTCAGCTAGGACCAAAACCCCTTTACAAGGAAAAAGGTGTAAACAAAGAAAACCTCTAAAAAGGAATGCGTTTACAAATTAAAGCTCACTAAACACTAATATTTACAAGATAATAGGAATAAAGAGTGAAAAGATCTTCTCTTGTGTTTGATTGCTTGGATAGGTGTTCTAACCCATCTTCAAGTGTCTTGAACTTGTATTTATATGTTGGAATGAGTTTGTGGCCGTTTCTAGCCGTTGAAAGTGATTTGGAGCCATTAGGGATGTTTTCTCTGCAAAATAAAATTGCCCAATATAGAGGGTATCGGTAATCCTATAGGGAGTATCGGTACTACCTTTGTTATTTTTAAAGCCGTTGGGCCTGACGGTATCAATATTAAGCCTATGGTATTGATACTACTATGTAAAGTAGTATCGGTACCCCTTTGGGTATCGGTACCATTTTTGTATTCTGGAATTTGAGCAATGCTGGTAGTAGCGATACTACCTAGAGAGTATCGATACTTCTCTTACCTTGGGTATCGGTACCACATGAATAGTATCAATACTGTAAGAACAGTATCAGTACTACGTACGTGAAAATTAGTTTTGTGCTCAAATTCACTTCTAAAGGACTTTGAATTATTTTTGAAAACTTTAAAAACTTTGAATAAATTCAATTCAAGTCCAAAAACATTTTGCCTTAATTTTTTATATCAAAACTTGGTTCAACACAAGTATCTAAGGTTTCTCTTAACTGCAACAAGATGAGTTACACGAGGAGCATGCATAAATTAAGTAACTTGCCTAACACTAAAGGAGATATCAGGTTTTGTGTGACACACATAGAGCAATGAGCCTATAATGCTTTGATATTCACTTGCATCTTGGAGAAACTCATCCTCCTATTGAGATAACTTTGAAGATGTGATCATGGGAGCAACACACGCAATAGCATTCTTCATTCCAGTCTTCACCAGTAGTTCTAGGATAATTTTTTTCTGGCTAAGGACAACAGAGTCATG